GGGGAGCAGTCTCATCTAATCCGAATCATCCAATGATTTGATTCCAATCGGTGTTTTTTTGTTTTTTTTTCAGCAATCGACTTCAAACATACTCTCACTCACATGAGAGGTTTTTTTTAATGACTGCATTTGGCCGCAATGTGCGGTCCCATACATTCAAGACCGCCCTAGTAGTACGCCCTGCTCTGAACCAAGGGGACGTGATGAATGCGTACGTGGGCCTCGCTCCACGACTTGCCAAAAAGAATTGAGAAAAGACCAAAAAGCAACAAATTGGAAAGTGTATATTTCCATTTTCTGCGGACAGATGCACTCTCTCTCTCCCATTTTACCAAATATGGAGCTCGGCGCAACCAGGCCCTATTTCGCACATGGAAAAAAAAAAAAAAAAAAAAAAAATCAGTCCGGCCACTCAAAACTGTCGCACCGCTCAAGATGTGGTAAATTGAAGAGAGTGCATATATCCATTCTCTGCGGCCAGATGCACTCTCTCCATCTCCATTTTACCACCCTCCCGCCACACAAAACTGTCGCACGGCTCCTGTAGTGAACACAATTGTGGCTGCCATGCCGCACATGGCCCTCCACAGGCCTCCGCACATACGCCCCCCCGCACATGCCCCCTTACATGCCCCTCGCGCATGGCCCCCCCCCAGCACACGCCCCCCAGCACATGCCCGCGCACATGTCGCACATGCGCCCACTCGCACAGCGCCTCGCCTGTGCGGTTCCCTTCCTCAGCCGCACAGCCCCATTGGAAATCACGCCGCGTACCTGCCGCTCATCTGCCGCTCACCTCCCGCTCACGTCACGCTCTCACAGGCTACTCATATGCCGCTCACTTGACGTTCTGACATGTCGCTCACTTGACGCTCTCAGATGGACGCCGCTCACTTGACGCTCTCAGATCTGGATGCCGCCGCTTACCTGCCGCTCACCTCCTGCTCACCTCCCGCTCTCACATGCCGCTCACGTGACGCTCACTTCACGTTCTCACAGGCCGCTCACTTGACGCTCTCAGCTGAATGCCGCTCACCTCCCGCTCCCGTCACGCTCTCACATGCCGCTCACGTGCCGCTCACTTCACGTTCTGACATGCCGCTCACTTGACGCTCTCACATGGATGCCGCTCACTTGACGCTCTCACATGGATGCCGCTCACGTGACGCTCTCACATGGATGCCGCTCACTTGACGCTCTCACATGGATGCCGCTCACGTGACGCTCTCACATGGATGCCGCTCACGTGACAAGTTTGTTGCCTGAAAGACGCATAAGCATGTATACCAATTCCAATCATGCCCTAATGGGTATACCACGATTTGAACCTGCGACCATCCATCAGGTTAAAAACCCAATGCTTGAAAAATTGCTACTCTAGAATTAAAAAAAAAAAAAAAAAAAAAAAGGCCAATGCTCTACCAACTAAGCTATACAGCGCTCTCAGATGGATGCCGCTCCCGTGACGCTCTCAGATGGATGCCGCTCACATGCCGCACAACACGAAAAGCACCTGCTCTCATTTTCCGCTCACAACGGACCTCGCTCGACTACTCTCCGCAAGCACAAACGACAAAGAATTTAGTAATGTATCTTTCCATATTCTAGGGGAAGATTCAGTGTCATTTTGCGCATTTAAAGAGTAATAATGGAGCGAGGCCCATGTAATAAAAAATAGGTGTCGACTGGAATCAAGATATTTAATATTTAATTGGAATCGCACACTACCGTAGGATGGTTTCCATTTTCAACTGTATGTAGCCATGGTTACGGTCAAATTCAGTCCAGAAAAGTTCATTCAGTCCAGAAAAGTTGCACACAAGTATGTCTCCTATGATGAATGAATGAATCCGGGTTAAATCAAATTCGCACATTTATTTTTTGGAAACAAAACCAAAAAAAAAAACGTTGATTCAGAAGGTGCACCTAGCAACATCGAGCGCATTCAGTACTGCCACTAGAATTCTAGTGACAATACAGATTAGTTTTTTTTTTTTTTTTTTTTCAAGGACGAAAAAGATTAGTCGCATGCAAGCATAAAAAAAAATGTTTTGTTTTTAATATCAGTACAATACAATAAATCCACTACTGCCGTCTTCAATCGAATAGAACGCACGGGGATTATAGTAAATTGAATTTGGGAATTTTGGGTCAATTTGTCACTCTCGACACAGCGATGATGACCCCGCGTTCTATTCGGGGGAAGACGGTAGCTTCTTTCCCTGAAGCAAGCAGCGACTACAGCCGGTACGCGACCGTACGGACGAGCGATGCAATCTGTACGGACGAGCTGGCACGATGATCAACTTCTTCCGTAGCCAAAGATCGTAATAAGCTATCACAAACTCTCTCTCTCTCTCTCTCTCTCTCTCTCTCTCTCTCTCTCTCTCTCTCTCTCTCTCTCTCTCTGTGTGTTTCGCTCACGCTCGCTTGATCTCGCCGATGCTACTTCTTCCTTCCTTCCCTCCTCTGTATTTCTATGAAGATTTATCTAAGCGGCTACCTACACTAATCTGGCTGCTACGGGGTTCCCCGTATGCCTACAATTAGGAGTAGTGGTAGGTTGGTAGTGTGAGGTGAAATTGAGAGAAGAATATAGCTTTTAAAAATAAAATTAAAAAAAATAATTAAAAAAAATCTACTTATTTATCTATCCATATCCAGCTAACTTGCTACAGCTCTCTCTCTCTCTCTCTCTCTCTCTCTCTCTCTCTCTCTCTCTCTNTCTCTCTCTCTCTCTCTCTCTCTCTCTCTCTCTCTCTCTCTCTCTCTCTCTCTCTCTCTCTCTCTCTCTGTGTGTGTGTGTGTGTGTCTGTGTGTATGCATTTGATACATCTCTTCATTTATTCTATCTGCCTACCTACATCTATCTTAACTCTATGCAATATATAATATATCTATCTAATTTTATCTATGTGTCTGTCTGAAGATGTGTCTTCTTACCCTACCATAGTCTATCTATCTGATGTGGCTTTTAGCCGGCCACGCCTTCGCACAGAAGAAGATAGCTTTTTTTATTTAAAAAAAAAAAAAACAACGGCGAGAAGTCGTATCGCAGAGACCGGCAATCACATACGAGTGCACATCACATAAAACGAGTGGCTTAAAAAAAAAAAAAAAAAAAAAAAAAAACGAGCGGCGATACGACTCGAGCAAGTTATTAAAAATAATAAAAATAATAAAAATAGTGACGGTCAGGATCTGCACATCACATAAAACGAGTACAATTACTGAATCAAGCACCGAACAGAACGAAGGCTCGAGCAAGTTATCAAAAATAATAAAAATAATAAAAATAATTTATTATTATATAATTAAAATTAAAATTAATAATGAAAAACATACATAAATAATTATAATTGTATTTAAAAAAACTCGAGCAAGTGCATAAGTCCCCCAGCAGTTCCCTCCGCAAGCGACGTAGCCTACCAGGGGCGTGGTCCCACTAGCAAAGAGGATCGGACGTGTTAGTGGAGAGGTGCAGGAAATCGAGATTGAACTACTTTTCTGCATCTCTGCGTAAAACACATCCGGATTCAGCAGCTCGATCCTATCCTTTTTGCTACTAGTGGGACCTCGGCCCAGTAGTAGGTAGGCCACAAGGACTCAATCACAAACGTACGCAGGACTCCGGTTGAGTGCAGGACTCGGGGCATACTCAGACGAGGACTTGTCTGAATGTATGCACCTGACTGCAATTACGTCCAGAGAGGGAAGTTGAAAAAGTCCTGCTGTGAGTGTGCCCTCAAGCAAGAACCTAGTAAGCACTCAGGTAGAGAGCATAAGTACTCAGCTTGAGTGCCGAAGGGCATACTCACGCTAGGACTTCTTCTTCACAGATTTCTGGACGTGATTGCGGTCAGATACATTTTTTAAGGAAGTGCTAGTGTGAGTATATACCCTAAGGACTCAGGTTAAGTTCAGTACTCAGGCAAGAGCGTTAAGAACGCAGGTTGAGTCTAGGGACCAAGCAAGCACCCTACTAAGGACTCAGGGTTTTTTGTTTTTTTTTCGTTTTGCAATTTTTTTTATTATTATTATTTTTTTTTAACAGAGGTTCCTGTCTATTGGTGGGGAGCAGCAGCTGCTGCCTGCTGGAAACCGGGTCCAGCGTCCCATCAAGGACTTAGGTTGAGTACAGGACTTGCTCAAGACGGCATGTACTCTGTTTGAGTGCAGTGCACAGGACTTAAGGTAGGTAAGCCATGAAGGACTCGCACTGGTAGGGATGTTGTTAAAAAAAATAATAATAATAATAATAAATAATTTAAAATAAATAAATAAATAAAAATCACGGTCCTGGTCCTTCGGGACATCAGTTAAAATTAAAATTGGAACGATACAGAGAAGGGTAAATTAGCAAATGGCCCCTGCGCAAGTAAGGATGACACGCATAAATCGAGAAATGGTCCAATCAAGGTCCTGAGTGCTCTACGTGACGACACGTGGGTTTGTTGGCATGCAGGCCATGCCACGTGGAAATAGGGGAAGATGCGAGGTGTAATATGTCCAGGATGAGATAGCATGATTCTGGTCACAAAATAGGACAGGTTCGGGCTGGTCACGTAGGAAAAGCAAGGGGCTGGCGGATTTTTTTATTTTTTTTTTGCCCTTGCGCCACAAGAAGCAGAAGGAACAAGCAGATTTCTGACACGTGGCAATAGAGGAAGACGCGATCGGTACTATGTCCAAGATGAGATAACATGATTCTGGTCACAAAATAGGCCATGTTCAGGGTATTTACATCCCAGCACGTGTTGCTCCCCACAAATAGAGTGGAGCCTTGTTCCCATTAAGAAAAAAAAAAAAAAAAAAAGGCCACGTTCAGGGTGCTCAGGGGCTGGATTTTCTCTGGGATGAGCACTGACATCGCGTGTCCTAGCCTGACTCTGGGGCCAAGTCCAACTAGCAGCGTTAAGTTTCCTCAACACCTGAATCTGGACGTGTTTGTGGAGATGTGCGGTTGACGAGACTCTTGCAATTTCTGCACATCTCCACAAACACGTCCAGATTCAGGCGTTGAGGAAACTCAACGCTGCTAATGGGACTTGGCCCCTGGTTATCAAACAGGTCGCATCTCTCTCTCTCTCTCTCTCTCTCTCTCTCTCTCACACACACACACACACACACACACACACACACACACACACACACAGACTGACACACACAAATGAATGCACATTCACAAGGCAAGGCACTGAAAACGTGCAGGGGTCACGACATTGTCATTTTTTTCTGATTTAAATTGAAAACAGTGGAAGGGAACTACAATGTTAGTTCTATCTATTTCGGCGGAAGAAATGCTTGTGATTCTGTGGATGAATGGGCCTTGCTCCGCTACACAACACTCTTTACGTATGTGGAGCTAATAATCGTCCCGATACATTGAAGATGTTGAACTCTTCGGAATGCACCTGGTCCAGAAGGCGTCCAAACGCATGTAGGATGTTGTTGAGTAGTGGCGAGGCCCAATTTGTCTTTTTCCTTCCACGTCTTCAACTTTTCACACAATTGCCTTTTTTTTTTTTTTTTTTTGGGAAAAGCGAACAATTGCCTTTCTCTCTCCTCCTCCCCCCCTCCCTTTTTAAGTTTTTACCCAAAATTGCACTTCTATTAACAGGGTCCAGTGCCCAAGGCAAAATACATCCACACACTTTCAGTCACAAAAAGTAGGCACAGCCGGGATGTTTTTTCCCTTTCAGAGAATCCGCCTGGATGTATGCTGAACCCCTGCAGGCCTTCATGATTAGATTTGATTTCGCTGGATTGGGACTCTTTAGGTTTGCTCCGATTTCACCTGGTTTTTTTTTTTTTTTTTTTTTTTTTTTTTTTTATTTTTATCCCCCCCCCCCCCCCCCCACACACCCCCCCCCCCCCTTCCCCCCCCCCCCCCCCCCCCCTTTTCTTTTTTTTTTTTGTGGGGGGGGGGGGGGGGGGGGGGGGGGGGGGGGGGGGAGGAGAAGGGAAAAGGAGGGGGCTGGGTGGACCCTATTATTAATAATTCAATAGCAACTCACCCCCACGTTAAATAAGAAAGCAACCCTGAAACCGAGAACCCCAACAAACGAGTCTTTGACCCTAGATAGAGTCGCACACACCATCCATCCCACCCCTCAAGAGGGAATCCCTAAGCCTTGAGAGAAAGGCGCAAAACCCTAAACCCTAAACCCTAAACTCTAAATCATAAGAAAACAAAAGCCTACAAAAAAGAAAGAATCCATCTTTCTTTTTTCAACAACATTAGCAAAAAACTTAAAAAAAGATGAAACGATACTCTATTGTTTGAAGTCCTAAGACACTTGAGTTTGAGGGCTAATTTTTCAGAAAAAAAAAAAAAAAAAAAACTAGTCTCTGAAGATGATCTGCAAACTTGAATGTACGAAAACCCTGGTAATCGGGGGGGGAAAAAGTGAAAAAAAAAAAAAAAAAAAAAAAATGGGGACGAAAGCCACATAGGCGAGACATGGCAGATGTAATGAGGCACATAGGGGGTACCTACCATCTAGGTGGCAGGGTTCTTATTTGTATGTACCTAAACTAGATTTAATGGGGGTATGTAGGGGTATCTAGGTACCCCTCAAACGAGAACGCCCCCAACACCTTTG